TAAACTATGTAGCCCCAAAAGTCAATATTTATCCCAAAGCAAGCTTGAAAAGGCAAGATGGGTGAGGGAAGCTAGATAAATGGAAACAAAACAAACAGAATGGAAACAATAAGAATGCTGACATATTGGAAAAATTGTGATCAAGGTCACATAGAATAAAAATTATTAAATGGAAACCTAATTCACTGTATAAATTTTACACTGAAAATTCAATGAAATATACTTTTAAAACCAAAAAAATTGGTAACAAATATGATGGACTAGACAGATATACTATACATCCCCTCTAAAACAAAGACTTGAGAAAAGCAAGTGAAATGGATATGAGTGACAACCCTGGAACCCAGACTTTCAAAGGAAAGGATAAAGAAGTAGATTAAATACTGATTAGAGGAAGAGACTGAATGACAACCATAAACAAGAAGGGAGATAAAGTGGTTAACTGCCAATGGATCTAACACATTGCAACCATTTTGAGTTACTGTGAGCAGTATTCCTACTGGGGCAGGAAGCTGACAACCCGCTCTGCTCAGCCAGGATGCCAGCTGCTCAACCTGCTCAGGCTGCTCACCCAGGACCTCCACGAGGGACAGGTGACTAAGAGGTGTGATCAGAAAGGCCAATGTTTCCCCCGTATTTCTTTTTCTCTTCCTCTTCCTTCACCTTTGTGTGTTTTCTTTTTGGATCCATGCAGTGGATGTCCCACTGCCCTCCACCCTATCTCCAAAGACAGTTGTGAGCACTCCCATAGAGTAAGCATGTCATTCCCCCTGTAGCATGTCAATCAAAAGATTCAATAAAAGGATATAAAATGAACATGTGAAAGTCAGTTGGATTCCTGTATAGTAATAAAAAAGAGCACTGAAAATTAAAGCATATTCTATCCCCCTCCCCCTCTCTTTCTTCTTAGTTCAGAAGCCCTAGTGTCTTAAAGTGCTATGTGCTGTGCTACCTCAAAGTCAGCAATTGGAAAACACCAGCCAATCTTTGGGACAAATATGAGCCCTCCCCACCCACATCAACCCACCCCAGTAAAGATTTACAGCCTCTGAAACACACGAGGGCAGTTCTACTCTGTCCTACAGTGTTTCTATGCATCAGAATTGACTCAATGTGAGTGAGTGAGTGAGTGAGTGAGTGAGTGAGTGAGTGAGTGATAAAAAGAAGATGAAGACATTACTAGAATAGAATATTGAAGAAGAAAAAGAAAATTGTAAGTTAACATCCTTCATGAATAAAGTTGGAAAACTCTTCAACAAAAAGTCAACAAATTCAATCTAGCCATTCTCCAGCTTCCAGGGCTGCATCAGGGTAGGTCCATGAGGCTTCTCCTCAGGGATGTCTTGAAGGGAGTCAGCAGAGGGAGAGTCTTTCCCAACTCCAAGGAGGAAATACAGGAATTCCCAAAATTCTCAAGAGAAGGCCATGCGCCACAGAGGCCTCATCAATCCAATTGACAGACTAGACTCCACCCCTTCACTCTTAATCCTATCAAGTCCCAAATTGACACTAGATGATGTAACTACCACACTCACCAAGAAAAAGATGAATAACCCAACCAAAAAGTGAACAAAATATCTCAAAAAACTCAAAACTCACTCCCGTAGAGTCAATGGTGACTCATAGTGACCCTCTGTGGGTTTTGGAGACTGCAAACGTTTCTGGGGGTAGAAAGCCCAGTCTTTCTTCTACGGAGCTGCTGGTGGTTTTGAACTGCTGACCATGTGGATCACGGCTTAATATGTAACCACTACACCACAAAAAATAGGAACAGATCATTCACCAAAGACAACAGCCAAATGACCCACAGACATATGAAGAAATGCTTACAATCATTAGCCCTCCTAGAGATACAAATCGAAGCAATTAGGAAATACCACTTTACACCGACAATGACAGCCAAGTCAAAAATAAATAAATAACAGAAAATAAAAGCTGGAGAGGCTGTGGAGATATTGGAAACCTTGTACACTGTTGTTTGGACTGTAAATCTGTACAACTACTGAAAGTGACATAGGACTACCTGAAAGTAGAAATTCCATATATAACCAGCAATCCCTGCTCTGGGTATACCTCTTTTCAAAAGTAAGATTTATTTTGCTCCCATTCGCCTTCTCATCGACTCATTTCTTTCTTTTGCAAACCCAGACCCTGCGGAGATTTCCCTTGCTGCTGCTGCTGCCAGTCGCCCCTGACCTTTCCTGCCGCCCGGCCCGAGCCCCACACAAGATGTCAGAGGGTCTGTTAGATCGCTCAGGGTAGAAACATACCTCAGTTCTGGTTACGCATGAGAAAAAATTCACGGAGAAGCCTGGTTTGTGATTCAAGTGAGTCTTATGAGAGTTAGAAGAAGTTTCGGGTTTACATAGGCACCACAGGGTCCCTCACCCCATACAACCTCCCTAGAAACTGCTCGGAAAATCACAGGAGCTTGGGCTCCTGCCTTTTTCAATTATTCCGCGGGAGGCGTGGTGGACGACCCTGGACAACCCCATTGGCTGAATTGAATTCAACTGGCCTAGGTAGGCTAATCCAGGTGCAGCACACACCCAGGTGTACCTCCCCTTCCCTGCCGGAAACCTGAACCTCTGAGCATGCGCAGTGTACCACTCCTTCATGGACCAGTAACTTGGACCTCTGGGCATGCGTAATGGACGCCCCAGTTCCTAAGCTAGACTACCTAACAGGTTTAGCAAAGCAGCTGGTAAGCTACAAAGCTCAACTCCAGCAAATTGAAGTCACATTATCTGAGAATGGAGAAGAGGAAGATTTGCTAACATTAAGAAAAGATTTATGAGAAGTTATAGAACTACCCTAAGTCCTTCTTTCAACTTAACCTTCTGAAACTCTTACAAGCCCCGACATTTTGCATCTATCCAGCCCACTCACTCTGGAAAGTAGGAGACAAGTGCATGGCAGCCCGGAGTAAAGATGGCCGTGTTACAACGCGGAGAGGGAGCAGAGAGAAGTCAGTAGCACGGCTACACTCCCCTTTGCTGGCTGTGGCCACGCCCGAAGTGACTCCACAGGAAGGCAGGCAAAGGAGGACAATGGCAACAAATCCATGTCAAAAAAAGAAAGAAAGGAAAGAAATACTTGCCCGCAGTATGGATATAAAAAGAAGAAAGCTTTGGGAAAAGCACAAAAAATAAAGAAAATTGAGCCAGAAAGAAAGGATCAGAAGATAAAAGGGCAGCTATTTAGCAACAGAGCCTATTCTAGACCATAAAAGGCCAGG